ATAGAAACTGTTTTTGTCTGTTATCCTAAGGAGTGATTCTTGTTTCATTCACGATAGAAACTGTTTTTGTCTGTTATCCTAAGGAGTGATTCTTGTTTCATTCACGATAGAAACTGTTTTTGTCCCTTATCCTAAGGAGTGATTCTTGTTTCATTCACAATAGAAACTGTTTTTGTCTGTTATCATAAGGAGTGGTTCTTGTTTCATTCACGATAGAAACTGTTTTTGTCTGTTATCCTAAGGAGTGATTCTTGTTTCATTCACGATAGAAACTGTTTTTGTCTCTTATCCTAAGGAGTGATTCTTGTTTCATTCACGATAGAAACTGTTTTTGTCTGTTATCCTAAGGAGTGATTCTTGTTTCATTCACAATAGAAACTGTTTTTGTCTCTTATCCTAAGGAGTGATTCTTGTTTCATTCACGATAGAAACTGTTTTGTCTCTTATCCTGAGGAGTGATTCTTGTTTCTTTCACGATATAAACTGTTTTTGTCTCTTATCCTGAGGAGTGATTCTTGTTTCATTCAGGATAGAAACTGTTTTTGTCTCTTATCATAAGGAGAGATTTTTGTTTCATTCACGGTAGAAACTGTTTTGTCTCTTATCATAAGGAGTGATTCTTGTTTCATTCACGATAGAAACTGTTTTGTCTCTTATCCTGAGGAGTGATTCTTGTTTCATTCACGATAGAAACTGTTTTGTCTCTTATCCTGAGGAGTGATTCTTGTTTCATTCACGATAGAAACTGTTTTGTCTCTTATCATAAAGGGGGATTCTTGTTTAAGCCGCATCAGCAGTCCCACAGCTATTCGAGAGTGTTGTCCCCAGAAATAACACAAGGTTCCATATTTTCCTGCTTAAAATGAAGATGGATGTGCCGTTATTGTGAAAAGTGTTCCCTTTGGTAAAATATCACACACCTAAATCCTAATCACTTGATAAAATTTCATAATGATTCCACTAGAAACTGTTAAGATATTGAATGTGTTTGATTTTATGGAATGTGGTACAGCCAACTTAATTCTTTACTATAACGCGCGCTGCACGTCCATGCGCATTGTATGTGCGCTTTGTTTGTATGAGGTCTTATTTTCTAAGTTCTAGAAACAGGTAGTAGAAACAGGGAATGATGGGGTGGGGGTCTGTGCAAGATGCTAATTCATCGAGAATTATCCAGAAAAACTGCGTATTTGCAAAAAGATGCACAAACATTTGTTCTTCAACAAAACACATTCATCTTTAAGTTACTTGCGTAGAATGAAGAAACTAAATACTCGACAAGGAATAACAACACTGTGTGGAAGTACCTAATTTAGTTTTTTCAGCTTGCGAACAAATATATTTGTACAGGTGTTTGGTTACTGCAATCTGTGCTGTAATACACATGTATTGAAAAACTCTGCTGCGGTTATTGAAGTCATATGAGCTTTGATGTCAAAGGCCTTGATTCAGCATTTGCAAAACTATAACAACGTGAACCCAGTATTTTACACAATGGAAAATCTGTGATCCTCTGGTTTAGTGCCGGTAACATGAACGCATGAAAACTGATCAAATGCATACCCTTAATGCAGTAAGGTATGAGGACATTTGAAAAATGACAAATTTACAAATGTTTCAAGTTACATATGTCCAGATTTCAAACCCAAGTACACTTAGAAAAGAGTCGGAAATTTCAGCCCCTATTGGAAATACTCTATGATTAAGTATTTACTGAGGCGTCAGTTTTTGAAGTCATGGCATGAAATGTCTGCCAATCCGGTTATAACTTCTTTGAGTGGCATTTATAGAAGTTGGAAGTCAGATAGAACAAGTATATATGGATGACAACTTCTTTTATTTTAGAGCACGACGTTTCGATACAGGTTCTTGTATCGTTTTCAAGTGAGAATGGTACAATTCTCACTTGAAAACGATAAAACAACCTGTATCGAAACGTCGTGCTCTAAAATAAAAGAAGATGTCATCCATATATACTTGTTCTATCAATCCGGTCATAGCATACTTGGCAAATGCCCTTGTCCATAAGACATCGATCAATGAGCATATGTTTCAAAGTGTTAGCTTCCATTGAAATAAATGCCATTGATAACACACTAAACTAAGTTAGTACGTACGAGGGGCGTCCCAAAACTAGTCGGCCTCACCTAGAAAATTATTCAAATACAGCTGTTTTTGTGTTTTATTTTATGTTATCTGTGAACCTCAAGCAAATAGCTTTTGCCATGTTCCAGCCTCACGATCCCCGTTTTGTTTGACTCTTTATCTTGGTACCCCCAAAAACGCAAAATCTGCGATAAATGCATCAACAACTCGAGGAAACAAAATATGAAAGAAATTTTTTGTGTGTTTGAGATAGGCAGAAGTCCTTTAGAATCAAACGTAGATATTAAAGTGCATAAAAATTTGAATTTGAAACTAAATCGCTTGTTAAAGTGACTCCACCCATGATGTTTACTGAAAGAGCTTGTTTTGGAGACACTACCCAACCCCTTTCAGATGACGTAATCATAAGGACATAATTTATTCTAATGTTCTCACTATTCATACATGATGATGCCAAAGGTTCAAACTAAATACTGAATGGTCACACAAGTGTCAGCACTCAATATATTGTAAACAGTGCCAGCTTCAATTACTGGACACAATGGTTTTGAAAGATTAAAATGGGGAAGTCCTTTAAAAACAGCCCCGTCTAAATATATATCAAGCAATCCAAATATTTGAATGTTGATTATGACGGGAAGTCATCCAATACTATACTGAACATATTTTATAATGATATTATCTGAGGGCATACCATTATACAAGAGGTACAAAATGAAAGATCGTTTTTCACTTTCTGCAATTTGTAAGGAAATATTATGCCCCAATGTGTTGTGATGACTAATATCTCGTTTACCACATTACCCACATATGTGAAATTTGGGATATGGCTTGCAAATAATTCCTTCAAAATAAACTGGAAGCTTTTCTAACATTGGACATCGCGAATATAGTTAGGTCGACTACTTTTGGAACGGCCCTCGTAATTCCGACTGTATCTGCGTTGGCTTCAACGGTGTAAAATCCCACCACTCTCGTTCCCTGCCTGTACGGTAATCGCACATTCTGGGCACGGCTCGGAGTAATGAGCCATCAGCGATCTGAATGATGTGACCTAACCTCCCCCCTGCTCCACGATGACTGAAGTAGTCTACGAAAGCTCGACAACAACGCTATCGTTGTCTTATTGTACTTCGACCTAAAGCTTATATTATACTGTTCCCACCTTAATACTTTCATTGTCACGTTGCACTTATGCCAAAGTATAATATTCCGGTAATGTTCCTATCTAACAACTATCATTGTTCATGTAACTCTGCCTTACGCAAATAAAAAATACTGGTCATGGTAGTTTTTGAAGCGTTCTTCCGATCTGAACATGATCCACTTGATCAACGCATATTCCCCTCATGTTACAGTGTGATGGAGCACACAGTGTTACAACGACGAAGGAACATGTTTCGTCACGTTAAATTTGTGAGCATTAATCAAGCACCACCCACTCTTTCTACAGGAGGACACAACATATTTGGGTAAATGCTTGGAAAACCATATTTAGCCTAATAAAACGGTACCTGTATCATATTTTACTCTGATTAAAACAAAAACAAAGATGAAAAATAAATATGGTGACAATTTACTTGGAATCTGAGAGGAATACACAACAACATGAATACCAACACTGACTGAAAGTATAGTTTGTCATCGTGACTACGCCATATATCTGATTGTCACACAGTTCATATATAATGATTTTTGGGATTGTATGAACTACCATTGGTGACCACATCACTACCTGGTGCAGCCATCCCTCGAAGAGATATCATATGCCAGTTCCCTCCTCTCACTGGCACTCAAGTGTCAAATTCTCTGCATCTTTCTCTCTCTCTCCATATGCGCCCGCGCGTGTGCGTACATACATGCGTACGTACGTACGCAAGAACGTAATACAAACATACATACACACAAATACACTTGCACGCACGCACGCACGCACGCATGCATGCATTCATACAAAGACACACATTAACTCTTTCAAACACACACACACACACACACATACATATACATACATACATACTCACTCACTAACCCAGCATCACCCAACGCCCCAACCATCACTCACTCGTAAGTCCATAAGTACGTAAAATGGGTCAGTTCATTACGTTACATAGTTTAGTGTCCCAGTCGTATTCACCGAACCTTGCAGTTCTTGGATAACAGACAATCGGAGAAGACATTGTTGTGAACCTGTCATTCTTATAGAAAACGAAATGGATACTTTTGTCCTAACCGCGTTCCGAAGATCACATTGTGTGTCGTGTAAAGCTTCAAAGAAACTAACGTCGTGTAATAAGTAGAACATAATTCATTGAATAGCGTGGGTATGGATGGTCAACCTGTTAATGTGATGAATAAATAACACGGGCACCACTGTTATCTACCCCGATCCCTCCCAATGTGTGCATGTACTTTACTACTCGTTGTATGCTCGCGTAAACCTGTTCTCTATTTGCCTTGCATGGCTAGCAAGTAGCACTAACCTTTACGTGTTTGTGAGGCAGGATAAGTTTTTTTGCGAGACTGTTATAAACAGTAACAGTGAATCAAACACTTTCTCACGCTCTAATCGGGGGTATACAATCGCCTCCGCCTTTGCCAGTGATTTCTCATGGACATGAAACGGATATTGTCCGTTTTAAGTTTTACTCACATGAATTTGCTTTTACGGTTTGGGTGTAAAAACTGAAATAGTTAACACCAGGCAGTATAGTATTTTCCCTATACAACGGTAAACTAATACTAGTTTTGAAACAAAACACACACTATTTACAATCGCACAACTATAAGGTGCATCATTATATTATCTGTGTATTAATATACTCAGTATACAACGAAACGAGCACATTTTCATAATGTGTATGTTATATGTATCAAAACAGAGCAGTACTTACACGCAGGTGGACGTAGTTGTGCACGGAGCCTAACTAGGGCACGCCGGTTTGCGACGGGACAGGTCTCGACTGTCGTGATCTACTGCTTGAGTGAAAAATGAGGGCACCCGCCCTTAACGTACCCTGAATGGAGTTGTAGACTGGGAGGTATGCTACATCAGGCCGCAAAGCGCCTCACGGGTGCTGGCAATTCACTATGTTGAACGCGGGGAACTGTTATCTTTGGATTTTGCCATGTATGAATGTTGTTGTTTAACATGATCATAAACTGCATTATGTCGTGAATGCGTGATGTTTTTAGAAAAGCGTGAGATTAAAGTCTTAGTGTAGTGTACAAATATTTGAACTTTTGAGGGGTTGACTCCCGCAGGGGATTTGAACCCTTGCTCTAATAGTGAGGAAACAAATCGCCATCAGCCACTCAACCATCAAGGCTCACACAAAAATGGCCTGACAGTCTGTGTCAGTGTGTATTTCTCGATAACTGTAAATCGTAACAATGTCTTTTGGAAATTGTGAAACGCGCAATACTTCGCATAACAGTTACTTTTCTGAGTCCAATTTAGGATTCGAACCCACCCTCTCAGATTTGCAGCACCAAGAAAGGTGAAGAGACATTGATCCCAACTATAACATTTAGATATAATGTTCACAGGTATTGCACACGACCTAGTGTCGTTACACAACAAGAACTTACTGAATCCTATAATGGAGGCTTATGAACATGAGTACTTCCTTTATCTATTCACTATCGAAGACTCGAAGTACCTCCCATACATATTTGCAAGCAAGGTGTTGTGTTGGAGCCTGCACTAGTCAGCTGATGATGGTGTGTCGCATATCCATCGGAGCGTTTAACCCGTATGCTTATGTTGAAACCCGACCCGCTTTCCCCACATTACTGCATTATTTTGTCACCATACTGTTACACTATTCACATATTTACTGCCGATTATATACAGCTACAATATACACAGTTCCCCTGTTAGGTGTATATAGCTACAATATACACGGTTCCAGTGTTTGGGGTATAAAGTTACACTATACACGGTTCTCCTGTTTGGAGTATAAAATAACACTATACACAGTTCCCCTGTTTGGGGTATAGAGAATACTACACGAGGTCTCATGAGGAAGGTCACGAGTTTCGTATAATTCGTACGTCATGAGACCGAGTGTGGTATTTTATTTATTACCAACGTCTTACATGCATTGAATTGACAAAATAGCGTATTTTTGTGATTGTTATGGTTTCAAACCGAAACCGGTTTCATAAAGAGGTTGTGGAAGAATTTTGTTCTGAAGTACACTTTTGCATGACGACACACTGTATTGACGTCACTACGCCATTCTCGTCTGTCCCCTTGGGAAACGACGTCACGATGCATGTCAGTTGTCATCGCCTCTCGTACAGCCTCCTACAGTAAACTACTCCGTAGCACCCCGTTTCTTGGTTTGCAACTGCTTCACTCGGCTAACATCACTGGTGGAAACATTGCGTTTATGTTTTTCGACGGATATAATGTCTCAGTTCGACTCACAATTAAACAGCGACACGGCAACGTTCGCAATGTTTACATTCCCACAATGCATCTAAGTTGTAGAATGAATGAATTCACGTGTTTGTTATGAATGAACACGTAGTTCTGTCACAACGTGACCTAACTGAGCGGTCATCGGTTATCCAATCAAATCGTTAGAATCTCAGGTCAAGTCGTTACGACACAGGTCAACGTGATACGACACTCGTGTAACGTACCAGATTAGTATGCAACTACCCATGCGTTGACCACGTGGGGAATAAATAAAGTTACACTATACACGGTTCCCCTGTTTGGGGTATAAAGTTACACTATACAAAGTTCCCCTGTTTGGGGTATAAAGTTACACTATACATAGTTCCCCTGTTTGGGGTATAAAGTGACACTATACACGGTTCCCCTGTTTGGGGTATAAAGTTACACTATACAAAGTTCCCCTGTTTGGGGTATAAAGTTACACTATACATAGTTCCCCTGTTTGGGGTATAAAGTTACACTATACACGGTTCCCCTGTTTGGGGTATAAAGTTACACTATACAAAGTTCCCCTGTTTGGGGTATAAAGTTACACTATACATAGTTCCCCTGTTTGGGGTATAAAGTGACACTATACACGGTTCCCCTGTTTGATATATACAGCTACACTATACACGGTTCCCCTGTTTGGGGTATAAAGTGACACTATACACGGTTCCCCTGTTTGGGGTATAACGTTACACTATACACGGTTCCCCTGTTTGGGGTATAACGTTACACTATACATAGTTGCCCTGTTTGGGGTATAAAGTTACACTATACACAGTTCCCCTGTTTGGGGTATAAAGTTACACTATACACAGTTCCCCTGTTTGGGGTATAAAGTGACACTATACACGGTTCCCCTGTTTGGGGTATAACGTTACACTATACACAGTTCCCCTGTTTGGAGTATAAAGTTACACTATACACAGTTCCCCTGTTTGGGGTATAACGTTACACTATACACAGTTCCCCTGTTTGGGGTATAAAGTTACGCTATACACAGTTCCCCTGTTTGGGGTATAAGGGTTACACTATACAAAGTTCCCCTGTTTGGGGTATAAAGTGACACTATTCACGGTTTCCCTGCCTGGTGTATACAGCTTAAATGTACACAGTTCCCCTATCTGGTGTTTACAGATACAATGTACACAGTTCTCCTGCCTGGTGTATACAGCTACAATGTACACAGTTCCCCTGCCTGGTGTATACAGCTACAATATACAGAGCTTGCCTGTCTGGTGTATACAGCTACAATGTACAAGGTTCCCCTGCCCGGGGTATAAACGGTTCTCCTGTATACAGCTACAATGTACACAGTTGCCCTGTCTGGTGTATACAGCTACAATATACAGTTACCATGTCTGGTGTATGCAGCTACAATATACAGTTTCCTTGTTGGATGCATAGAGCAACAATGGACATGGATGCTCGGCCAAGTATTCACCATAAGAACAATTACACCATAATGGCGTAATGGAGGCAGTGGACACACACGGTGTAATCAACCAATAACAATTTAAACCGTACGTTGTGAGGACTATTTGACACAATTTGATAGCCTCGCATGCCTCAGTGAATGAATGAAAATGCTACCATCTCTCATGAAAATTACCCAGTTCGCCAACAGCCTTAAAACAAATCATTGTCAAGTACGTGTATCTTCATGCCCCAGGATTATTGTACCATTTGTAGAAACGGACTGAACCAGATAGTTACAAAATGAAAGAAGACGTGTATTTAAATTGTACGAATGTTTTAAGAATACAAATATACTGAGTCAAAAAAGAAACTTCACAAAATGTAATTTGAAAAATAATGAATAATTTTTCTCTGATGATACATTTATGTATCCGAAATGGGATCCCTATCTTTCGACTCTAGAAAAACGTTAGCAAAACCCACTCAAACCCATCCATTCGTCGTGCAAATGACGTTAGTGCCAAATCAGGTTTTGCACGTGCAGTCGATCACGTCATCGAAGTTTTCTTCATATGCACGTGTTTGCATTGGCCTCAAGAATTGAAAAAAACACTTTTAAACCACAGTTCTAACGGTACTTGAAATGCCACTATTGTCAAATGTGCAACGTGAACGTGCCGTTGGCATGTTGTAAGCGGGAAGATCAGTTATTGACGTCGCAAGAGCAATGGGATGCAGCCGTCGTACTGTGTATGACTTGCGAGGTCGTCTACAACAAACTGGCACCACTTCTGATCGCCCAAGGTCGGGTTGTCCACGTTTGACGTCACGAGCAGAAGACCGTCAAATCGTCTTACGTCACCTACGTGACAGATTTCGGCCGGCTACACGAACCAGGGCTTAGATGTTTAGAGGTCGACTGTCCTCACAGACCATTCGAAATCGGTTGGGGGCTGCCAATCTCCATTCTCGACGTCCATATCGTGGGCCGTTTCATCAACGTCTACGTCTGCTGTGGGCCCAACGTCACCTCCGATGGACCCAGAGAGACTGAAATCGAGTTGTCTTTAGCGATGAATCCAGGTTTACCCTCAGATTCGCGGACGGCAGGCATAGAGTCTGGAGACGACGTCGTGAACGGTATGCCAATGTTGTGTACAGGAAGTCGACAGATTCGGGGGCGGAAGTTGCATGGTGTGTGGTGCTTTCTCAGGGAACAACCGTTCCCGACTTCTGGTCATCCGTGGAAACCTCACAGCTGCTGCTTACCGCGACCAGGTGCTCACCCCTGAACTCGTTTCTTTCATGGCGGCTCATGGCCCAGGTCTACAGTTCAAGCATGATAATGCTCGGCCGCATACCGCGATGTTGACACGAAATTTCCTTCAAAACGCTGGAATCAACGTCATGGACTGGCCATCGAGGTCCCCTGACCTTAATCCAATAGAGCACGTTTGGGATGCACTTGGGAGAAGGCTTCGTGGTCTTAGAACCAACCTCAGAATTTGCAGGAACTTGGCGCTGCCTTGCAAGAGCAATGGCGCAGAATCCCCAACCACGTGTTCACAAGCATCAGGCAGTCGATTAGGAGACGGTGTTTGGCAGTGGTGAATGCGAGGGGCGGCCATACACGATATTGAACTAAGAAAGTTCGCATTTTTATTCTTGTGACTTGACATTCTGTATACCCATGTTTTGGAACGGCGGTGTAGCCTAATGGAACTGATTATGGCACTGTCAGTGTATCGAGTACATAACACATATCTCAGCAATGAAATAATAACAATTTAACCATCTTACCATCTCTTGTTCTTTTATAGTGCCCTGAAGAAAGAATGTGAAGTTTCTTTTTTGACTGAGTATAGTAATCTTTGTCTTGTCTTAAGGCAATGACTGACTGACTGACTGAGTTTGGTTTTACGCCGCTTTTAGCAATATTCCAGCAACATCACGGCGGGGGACACCAGAAATGGGCTTCACACATTGTACCCATGTGGGGATTCGAACCTGGATCTTCGGCGTGACGAGCCAACGCTTTAACCATTAGGCTACCCCACCGCCCCTGGTTGTCTTGAAGTTAAGAGATGCAAAATGAATGTTGGCAACAGGGTAACGAATCTTTGTCACACACATCATTTGAACAAATGACAGACAGGCTTTACGACATTTTAGTCTTTGTTCCCTGTTGGAGGTGGTGTCTTAGACGACGGATGCTATTGTCCAATTATCTGCACAAACGCTACTAATCAGTTGTGCGCCCTCACTATGTGCCCTATGCAGTAGTTTGGACGATGATGAGACAAGATTGGTCGAGCCATTTGTCCGGTGACGATTCTGTTCGCGTTGTCTCCTCGTTTGCTCTCTTTCTGAGATTGTTGATGAACACGATGGTGGATGTACATGGTCTTATCATGGTGGGCCTTATACAATGTATGTAGCAGTGCTTACTTTGGGACGAACAGGTAGCCAACAACAATTACAATTAAGGAACCAGTTCTTAGATTCCTTGTAATTAACCTGAATAAGGCCTTAATGTTTGATGAAGACCTGTGGAGGGCATTTCCATAGTACATGGATCAATGACGAGAACAAGATGTCTGATGTGATTCCCTATTCTGACTTGTACCATTTTGTTTCCGTGTGTTGTTTTCAACCGAAAAACGGACGTGGCTTTGCATGTGTTTGTGAGGGGTGCTACTTATTGGGAAGATGCGAGCTGCTGGTACCATCATTTTTTGATAGTTAATTATTAACGGGGCG